ACACATATCGTTTTAAACATTTTGCATCAATATTCATTATTTTATATGCACCTTACAATAACCACAACTGCACACACTACAAATTATCACATAAAATAGCGTCAAAGTAAAGATGAATAACAACGAAACCAAGCAAACTGACAAACCGCAAACCTAACCTAACATAATACGAATTGAAACGACACACGGGAAACAAATAAACTCGGGCTGTTACGCGCAGTCTACGCAAGTCACAAACATTACATTTTTTCTAGACTTGTGTTATAAATATGCTACCACATTTTTTTTTCTAATTATGTCTTTATATAAACAAAGGCAAATGAACTAACGCTTGAGAAGGATTGGGGATTGAGAACAAAATTTAACTAATGCCGATTGTTCCATAAGATAAGCAAAAATAGCAAAGGGTTGTTCGTCTGTTATGTTTTCGAGATCGAAAGGTAATGTTTCGAGTAATGTTTCAAATTCTCTTCAATTGTAACGTTTCGGCTATGTTTCACTAAATAAGTTTTCAAGTGCTACAATTCTGTAATGAAACAGAAACGTTTCTAGTTAATGTTTCAAATGTTTAGTAAAACATCTCATTTGCAACGTTTCATTTACGTTTCGTGTTTAGTGGGTTTTCATTATTTTCTAATTTTGTAATTGCTTCACTGCATATTTTTAAGAAAAAAAATCTAGGCAATATTATTTTGTAATATTTTTAAAAAGTAGGTATCTCTTTTTACATACCTACTTAAATATTTTTCAAAGGTAGATTACGACGTAGTTAAGTGAAAGGAAAATAACATTAAATAAATTTAAGATTTGTTAATACATTAAATGACACATATTCTCTAAAGTAAAATATATATTTATAAATTGTACCTACCTAAAGATAAATAATACAAAATATTATTTAAAACTATTAATTAAACAGCTTTCTTAAAATAATAGTACAATGAAAAACCTGGTGTTGCCGGTTTAAATTAACGAAGTCAGTAAAAAATAAAAAATATACAGGGTGACAAACTTTGACAGGTTCATTTATTTCAAACATTTTTGCTTGTATGAACATAGGCCCGATTCATTTTTGTTTAGAAGTTACAAGCATTTAAAAAAATATAATTTCATATTTCAATCAAAGTAAATGATGGTTGCTGTAACAATAATTATTATTATTTGTATCATTTTGCTTATTCATTTGACACTTAGCATAAAAGTGCTAAATGAAAAATGCATTTATTTACAAAGTTTAAGAGTAGGTATGGTAATATTGTCTTCGTATATTAATTTTCCAATGGGAATGCCATACAAGTAGCGGCGAGAATACCGACGAAGATACCAAAGTAGACATCAACCTGCCCATACAGTCTTTAGTGCATCATTTCGTAGACTTCAAGAAGAAGGTAACCCCGCTCCAAAAAAGGCCATTCGATCTACTGAAGTGAATTTACAAAATTAAGCACATATTATAATAAATAGATGCTGTCATTGACAACTCTTCAATTAATGTTCGGCGTACAGCAAGTAATCTTCATTTATCACCGAATTTTGCATAGGGCGTATATTGCAGAGAAATATTATATCCGTTTCATTGCCAAAATGTACAAGTGTTACATACTGGGGATGCTCATGAGCGATTAGAATTTTGTCGCTGGTTTCTTCAACAACATGCACAAAATAATAGATTTATTTCGCTTTGTATGTGGTCCGATGAAGCGTGTTTTACTAAGGACAGCATAAATAATCATAATGAACATAATAGGGCGTTAAAAAATCTACATGCAATTAGATCAAGATGATTTCAGCAACATTTCAGTGTCAACGTTTGGGGTAGCATTTTCAGCAATAATGTACTGCCTGCAAATGTTGTAAATGATCGTTTAAATGCAGATCTGTATAGAACTTTCCTGGAAAAAACCTTTTTGATTTCATTGATGACGTAGGGCTTAATAACACGATGCGATGGTATACAGCCACATAAAGGAAGACAAGTAACTGCTTGGTTAAATGATCATTTCCCAATAAATAGATAGGTCAGCAAAGTCCAACAGCACAGCCACCGCGTTCCCCAGATCAAAATCCTTTGGACTTTTATTTATAAAGACATATCAAGCAGCTTGTCTAATATGTTGAAATCACTACCAGTCAGCAGTTACTTGAAAGAATTCAGGATGCAGCTAACCAGAGAAGAAATTATCCAAAATGACGAAATTTTTAGTTCGTCGATGTGAGGTTTGCATTCAAGCCGATAGTGGACATTTTGAATAATTTTTATAGTCTCAAGATTTGTTACATTGGTTACTAAAGGTTAACTAACTTTAAATATAGAAAATAATTATTGTTATAGCAAACATCATTTTTATTTATCACGCTACTTCGATTGAAATGTGAAATTATATTTTTTAAAATACTTGTAACTTCTAAACAAAAACGAATCGGACCCATGTCCATATAAGAAAAAATGTTTGAAATTAACTCAACTACCATGCGTCAAAGTTTGTCATAGAGCTTGTAGAACACGCTGTATATAAAGCAGTCTCTGTAGAAAACCTACCTACTTATTTGAAGGACAAAGTATATATTTCACTTTATAGACCTTTTTTTGGTGACCTCTTTTTCATTAAATGTAAATACATTTTAAAATGTAAAAGTGCTACGTAAATGGTAAGAAAAAGCAAATATAAACTCAAACGTGTAAATGTACATAATGTATTCATTTATATTTTTTGTGTATAAAAACCATTACAAATATGTAAAAATCCTATATGAATTTCCACAATTTTTATCAACGTATGTTGTCTATGGATAAAACAAATTTATTTTTAATTCATTTCTCAGTAAACACATCATTTCAACAGATAAGTAAAACAATATTAAGCTTTGACGACTAAAAGGAAGTATCAGTAGACCAATCTTTGTAAACAGGGACTTTAGTCAACAATAACAACTTTCTATTTCAGTTATCTATACGTCTGCCACTGCCAGTAACATTATTAAAAAATCATGGATTCGTCTTACATATTTAAAGGCCCTATAGACAATTTAAAATTAAAAGGCGTATCATTCGCGGAACTGCTGTATGACAGCTTACGAAAAAAGGAACAATCGAATATATTGCTGGTAAGTAAATTGTCCATTTCTACAAATAAAAGTAGTTATGAAAATACCCACCGTGAATCAAAACCAAATAATCCCATAAGAGAAAAACCTACATAAACAAATTAAGAAAAAGGTATTTTTTGTAAGTGAATAGTTGGTTGTAAGATATATATTTTAGTGTGACAACAAATTTACCTTTGAAGACAAGCAGAAAAATATAGGGCTTTAACACAAAAGTTTAATTTGCAGGTAGACGAAAATACAGATGAAGGAATATGCAGAGGAGATCTGTTACAAAATAGTATAAAGTTGGCAGTAATCCTACAGCAAATGGGCATTTGTGAAAATGATAGGGTAGGAATTATTTCTGCAAATACTTGGAAATTTGTTGTCCCAACTTTATCGGCGATTTTCATAGGAGCAACAGTTACTCCAATAAATCCTGCTGCTACTAAAGGTAAAATAATTAATATATATCCTTTTAAAACATATTTCAACAAAATATCATAATAGATTATAATACTTAGTTTTAGTTCTTCTGTGAGTATGGGGTTGTCTCCTATTTACATATTTAGAAAAATCACATGATTCGTATTTTATACTTTCTTTAGCAGATTATTATCAATACTTTTAATTTGTTTTAAACTCTGTTTTCAGATGACTTACGTCATTACCTAACCCTGAGCAAACCGAAAATTCTATTTGTTTCGTCCGATGTCCTGGAAAAAGTGCGAGAATTAAAGAATGATTTAAGCTTCTTAAAACATATAATAGTATTAGATGCCGAAGATGTAGAAAATGATGAATTGGTATTTAACGAATTATTTAACCGTGACGTAAATTATAAAACATTTCAAATTCATAAGGACAATAGTGCAGAGGCATTGATATTGTATTCTTCTGGTACTACAGGATTCCCAAAAGGGGTAGTACTCTCCCAAGAGAATGTGTTGAATGCTATGGAATATTGCAGGTATACCAATTATTTTCTTAAATTCAATTCAGTAATTCAGAAGTAGGTATTTGATTGCCAAGAGTATATTGTATTTTTTTAACTCATCTAACTTTGGTCGCCTGTCTCATTATTTCCTAGTTTCTCAATTTATTAAAAATATTTGACCGACATTAGGTAACCGAACAAAGGTCAAGAAGTGAGTATCTGTAATGACAGATAACCGAAATTACGTTAATTTTTATAAAGAAATAAAACAACTGCTAACAGTCAATTAACTAACGACTAAAACAATGTTTTTCATATTTTATTTTTGTAAATTCAGGCTACCATTTGATTTAATGACTTCATTATTAATTAAACGACGTTGTATAATATATATTAATGAATATAAAAATCAGTTCAAAAAGTAATATGATGAATGTAATTAACTTATCGAAAAGAAAAAAATCAAATTGGAGCCTCAATTACATATTAATAGGTTTACCTTGCCTATCAACAAGTGATTAAATGTATATTACTTTTAATTGCAATATTTTTATATGGTACGACTTAAAAGATTGGCCAACTTTAACAGCAGACTATACGTCGCAAATAAATAAAAAAATTCCTATAAACACGGAAATGATGTGTGTACCCGGAAATGTCTCGTTATTGAGATACAGGATATTAAAAATTAATGAAGAAACGCTTATTTGAAGTTGTAAAAAACAGGTGATAATTTTAATAATAATTCAAGAAACTATTTATTATTATTATTATTATTATTATTATTATTATTATTATTATTATTATTATTTATTATTATTATTATTATTTTATTA